CTATAAATAAGGCATCAGCAAATATATTTTATTTTATTTATTATTTGTCATATTTCTATGCCGCCCACTCTCCGAGGACTCTGGGCGGCTTACGCCGAAGACAGTATACTAAATAGCATATTGCCCCCTAACAATCTGGGTCCTCATTTTACCCACCTCGGAAGGATGGAAGGCTGAGTCAACCTTGAGCCGGTGAGATTTGATCCGCTGATCTGCTGAACTAGCAGTCATCTGAAGTAGCTGCAGTACTGCACTCTAACCACTGCGTCACCTCGGCTATATGTTTTACATATATGTATGTTAAAGATGTGGACAGTATAGTAGATGGGATCAAATATTTAATTAGGGCATGGGTGTCAAACTCAAGGCCTGCGGGCTGGATTTGGCCATGGGGCTGGCCTGGAAATAGCAAAGGACCAGCCCGCGGTGCCTCAGCCAAAGCGGGGCACAGTGGGGGCTCATGTGCCCCCCCACCCACAGTCTATTTTGCCCTGGACAGCCTCCTGCAGAACTCTGGCAGACAAAACAGGGCAACAGGGGACTCATGCACCCCCACACCCCATTTTGGTCAGAAGAGTGCCGCAGGAGGCGTCGGTCCCATCTCCCCCTCTCCTGGCCTGCCCGCAGAAGACAACTACAATGCTGATCCGCCCCTTGAAAAAATCCAGTTTGACACCCCTGAATTAGGGTAAAACCAAGATAAAATTGCATAATATGGTGCCACAGAATTACAATAAGATAGAAGTTGTAGTGCAATATCTAAAAAGGTTAACATCTAATTGCTTCTGGTGTCCCTGCGATGAGATCGTCCCAGGTGCGTTGAAATTTCCTGAGGAAACATTGTCGAACTCTATGTGTTATTGCTTGTTCTGGGGCACTACAGTCACACTGTGGGCTCTTGGCCATTCCCCACTTAAAGAGCTTGGTCCTAGGTCCACCAATTTACCTCTTTGCAGCAAGCAGCAGAACCCTGTGCAAAACAGCTGAGAGCAAATCAGCTGAGAGTCGGGCGGCCGATCCAATCAACTTGTGCTAATTAGGCTGTACTGAAGCTGAAAGGAGCTGTTTTTTCTTGCTGTTTGCTTGCAAGGATGTAACTGCTGCGAGGCAGAGGCCAAAGGGTGGGGTCCAGTGGTGGGCGGGGCTACATTCGGTGTATAAGACGCACCTACATTTTCACCCTCTTTTAGGCGGGGAAAAGGGGCGTCTTATACTCCGAAAAATACAGTAACTCTGTCCACTGCCAGCAGTTCGATCCTGCCTGCTAAGGGTTGACTCAGCCTTCCATCCTTCTGAAGTCTGTAAAATGAGAACCCAGATGATTGGGGCCCATATGCAAATAATACTTCTTCATCGTAAACTGCCCTGAGAGTGCTGTAAAGCTCTATGGGACAGAATACAAGTCTAAATGCTCTTGCTTTTGCGATTCTAGCCCTTGCCCCAAATAACATTTTAAAGGGAAACTCAAGCCATGGTTGCTGAATTTTGCTAAACCAAAGAAAACAGTTGTTTTGTTGCTCCAAATCTCAGGAGGCAAGAGGTTTTTGGCGCAACAAGGACTATAAAATAACATCCGTGCTAAATAAACTGACTGGAGAGGAAGCCAATACCATGGCTCCTTTTTTCCAGCTCCTTTTCATCTCCAGCACCTTCGGCCAACTGGTCCAGTCTGAGCCAGCTCTCCTGCCTGAAGGTCAAGTGCAGCTGGAAAAATCTGCCTGACGCAAGTACCTGGCATCCATCTTCCTTGTCACCTCCAAATCTTTTTGACAAGTCACTCACTCTTGGCTGCAGACTTGCTGCCGATATTTCCCTCAAGTTCTCTGAATCTACCAGTGACCATCAGTGCAAACCTGCTTGGAGGCAGCATTTAGGCATCTATCTGTGCCGTAAGGCAGTGCTGGGGGGCCCCAAAGCAGCTCGGAGTGCCTTCAAACCTTGATGCATCCCTCCAAGCAAATATCAGTCTGAGGTGTTTGACTGAATCAAGCAGAGACACTGATGGGAGAAGAGAAAAATGGGAGCGGTGGGCTTTGCCACAACTTGCTAGGCCCCTCTGAAAAAGAGGGACTTTTCAATAAGTTTCTCCACGCACATCAGATTGGGCTCTTCAGATCTATGGCTTTAAAACTTTGAGGCGAGATTCTGGAAATCCTAAAAAAGGAAACTTAATTCACACACACCCCTTTTGTGACATCTGGTTTTAGGACAATGGTGAAATCCAATTTTTTTTACTACCAGTTCTGTGGGCGTGGTTTGGTGGGCATGGCAGGGGAAGGATATTGCAAAATCTCCATTCCCATCCCACTCCAGGGGAAAGATACTGCAAAATCTCCATTCCCCCCCATTCCAGGGGAAGGATACTGCAAAATCTCCATTCCCACCAGGGGTGGGTTCTAAATTTTTTTACTACCGGTTCTGTGAGCGTGGCTTATTTTGTGGGCGTGGCTTGATGGTCATGTGACAATTCTTTTGGATTTAGCAGAGGTACTGGTCTACCAGGCTTTTAACTACTTGCAGAGCTGTACCGGTCTACCCATTTATTTTTGCAGGCACTGGTCTACTCATGTATTTTTGCAGGCACTGATCTACTCATGTATTTTTGCAGGCACTGGTCTACCCATTTATTTTTGCAGGCACCGGTCTACTCATTTGTTTTTGGAGGCACCGGTCTACCACCAAACTGCCTTTTACCACTGATCAGCTGTAGGGCGGCCCTTTGAAGCCCTGCGGCAAGAGTTTAAACATTTTTTTTCCTTATAGCCCATCAGCTGGGACTCAGGAGGCAGCAATATATTGGGGCTGGTGCCAAATAAAAGGTAAGAATAACACAGGGGGTGGGGGTGGGGGGGGTGAGGGGGCGGGGGGCAGAACCGTTTCGGTGACATTATATCGTCACCACTACCGGCTCGGCAGAACCGGGAGGAACCCACCACTGATTCCCACCCCACTCCAAGGGAAGGATATTGAAAAATCTCCATTCCCACCCTATTCCAGAGGAAGGATACTGCAAAATCTCTATTCCCACCCCACTCTGGGGCCAGCCAGAGGTGGTATTTGCTGGTTCTCCGAACTGCTCAAACTTTCCGCTACCGGTTCTCCAGAACCTGTCAGAACCTGTTGGATTTCACCCCTGTTTTAGGATAGGAAAAACAGGACATGCTGATTACAAAAAGGAAAAAAAAAATCAGAATGTAACTTTGGTATAGTCAGAAAATGTAAGAAAAATGAGAAGGAGAAAGAGAAATAGAAGAAAGAAGAGAAATGGAGACAAAGAGAAAGGAGAGAAGAGAAGGAGAAGGAAGAAGGGGGTGAGGGAGGGGATGAGGGGAGAGGAGGAGGAGGAGGAACGAAGAAGATGATGAAGAAGAAGAAACACAGCAGTCAAACTGAAATAAAAAAAAACCTATGAGAATTAACAATGCCAAGCCCCATATGAAGTGAGAAGGAAGATATCTTTTTAATTGTGAACATTAGGAGGAACCTTGGAAAACTGCAAGAGAAATTTCCCATCCCTCCTTTATACTGAGTTAATTAAGATGGAAAAGCCTAAGAACATTTTGAACCGTTTTCCCCTAACTTTCTTGCCACCTGGGATTTAATTGCCATTTATGAGATAAACTATTAACGGATACCTCTGATATCTCTTGATTGCTTATTGGGTGAGAGTCCAAGATGGTGGATCAAGTGGCAGAAGGCATCAAAAGGCAAAACAATGACTAGGAGATAGACAGCAGAAGAAAAGGAGGAGGACTGAAGAAATTGTTTTGCATCTATTGCTATTCCTCTAGTAGTAAATTGTTTGCTCCATCATTCTGCAACAGCGAAATACAGTTAAAAATTCACAGATTTAGGTCAGCCGATTATTTCGTTCAGGCTTTACTGCTTGAGTAAAAAGAATAAATACTTAATTGGCAGACAATCCCAATTTAAAAGAGCATATGCAGCGTGCCATATGCTCCTAATCTTCAAATAGATTAGGCTATACTCAGGCTTTTTTGAAGCACTTTAAGCATGTGCTGGACTTTGGGCAGTGAGGATGGGTTGAAGGCCACAGGAGTGCTCCATTATTATCTCTTTTTTATTTGACCTTTCTCACTTCTTCACTGAAATGAAAACTTAAAGATGATAAAACATGGTAAAGAAAATCAGAAAAGAACAACCACCACAAAAAAAAAAATTGCTTAAAGGAAACATTGGAATTTAAAATATCCTTATTTGAGACTACTCTTCAACAAAACACCTTGTGCAGACAGAGTTAATCTACTTTGGAGAGAATAAAAATACAGATAGTCCTCAAGTTAAGACCACAAATAAACCCAAAATGTCTGTTACTAAGCAAGACATTTGTTAAATGAGTTTCGCCCCCTTTGACAAGCTTTCTTGTCACAGTTGTTAAGTGAATCTCTGCAGCTGTTAAGTAAGCAACATGGTTGTTAAGTGAATCTGGCTTCCGCATTGACTTCGCTTGTTGGAAGGTTGCAAAAGGGGATCACATGACCTTGGGACATCTTAACGATCATAAATATCATCCAGTTGCCAAGCTTCCAGATTTTGATCACATGATCACGGGGAGGGCTCCAATGGTCATGTGAAAAATAGCAATAGCAATAGCACTTAGTCTTTTAAACCACTTTACAATGCTTTTTACAGCCCTCTCCAAGCAGTTTACAGAGTCAGCATATTGCCCCCAACAATGTGGGTCCACATTTTACCCACCTCAGAAGGATGGAAGGCTGAGTCAATCTTGAGCCTGGTGAGATTTGAATTGCCAAATTGCAGGCAGCCGGCAGTCAGCAGAAGTAGCCTGCAGTACTGCACTCTAACTACTGCGCCACCGTGGCTCAAAAAAAAAAATTATTATAAACCACTTTTTTCAGTGCCGTTGTAATTTCAAACAATCACTAAACAAATGGTTGTAAACCAAGGACTACCTGTAGCTATGAAGTGGGGAGTACCAACTGTTTAATTTGTTTTAATCAAACAAGTTGCTCTCTTACCTCTCGATCGAGTCCTGCTGCCACTGTCACTATATCTCCAGTCTCGCTGTTAATAGTAAACATATTCTGGGATGGACTTTGTGGAGTTTGAGTCACAATGCGGTACCTCACCATCCCATTTGCTGTGGTGGCGTCGTCAGCATCGTTGGCTGTCACTGTCATCACGTAGGTTCCTTCATACAAGGTAGAAATGACAACAGAATCAATCAAATGTTCCACAAGAATGGGATTGATAGAATTCAATTCCTAGAGGCCAGTGGATGAATTTTGTGGGTCATCTTGTCCAGTCTTACTATAGCTGATGCCCTCCAGCATTTTAATTCTCTTCAATTCTAAGATATATGATTATTTATCCATTGATCATACTTGCCATGAGCGGCATGATGGCTTAGTGGTGAAGACACTCACCTCCCATTTGGAAGGTTGAGAGTTCAATCCTAGGTAGCGGCAGGTATTTCTCGCCTAGGGCGCGAAGAAAAATATCTGCTGTGAACTCCACGTGATGTCAGGAAGGGCATCAGGCCAGTAAATGCTCAGCTCCATCCCATCGCCCCGACTCTACCCCAAATTAAGGGGTTACAGGGTTATAAAAAGGGAATTTTTGATCATACTGGCCATGAATTATGGTAGAACTCTTTCACAGCTGGAGGGCATCAGAAGATGAAGAAGGTCTCCAGGTAATTTTTTCTTTTCTTAAAGTAGAGGAAAATTTTGGTAACATTAAGGAGAAGGACATAAGGAAAAATGTCTTCTAATTTGAGAACCATAAGGATCCCAGTGGAAGATGTCAGACATTAGCTCACCAAATTGCCCTTCAAGCTCTGAGAAAATTGAACAAAACTTGTCACTGGAAATCATCTAATGGAATGAAGTCTTACAGAAATTCTTGTGATGTCTTTATTGAGTAGAGTCCCCATCTACTTTTGACTAAAGTCTACTATTGACTAGCAGGGATTCCACATCTTCCTCTGATGATGCCACTGAAAAGGTTTACCATGGGGCACCAGAGGCATTGTGGGAAACAATGCAGCTACCTCAAGTGACAGCATAAAAACCAAACCGCAGCTGTATTTTTCAACAAGAAAATAGGTCTCACGGTTCTCAGGGGAAAAAAATCTACAAGGTGCACACAGATAGACTGCCTTCTCCTTTCCAAACCAGTGAACTACTATCTTATCAATCTACATTTGTTCCTGAAGCTGGCAAGGATTGAATTCCCACAGACTTCTCGCACTTATTCAACTTGACAAGTTTCAGCGCAGAAGATTAATCTAAAGTAATATGGTGAAAATAATACATGTTGCCTATAGAAATGCAGGTGGGAGTGAGAAGTGAGCATTAGCGTTGACAGTGTACACAATTGTCAATTTCTTGAAGAAAAGGCGGGGTAAAAGTGTAATAATCAATAATGAAAATCGGCCCAAGAATCTGCCAAATTGTCACACCTGTCCCGACTTGGTTTCTTAGGAAAAAAAGACCCACAGCTCCATTTGTGAGAAAAGTAGACTTTTACTAAAGACCAAGTGATTACAGTACAGCAAAGTCAGAACTAACATTTGCATTCCCTAATTAACTTTCCCTTTCCTGTTCCTCCTACAGGTTATCTCTTTATTGTCCAGTTACATTCAAAGAATTTGTTTTGCTAATGGTCCCTGCATTGGCAGGCTTGATGGTGAGCTGTTGCATTTCTGTTCCAGGCCTCTGGCCTTGGGGTGATGTCTCAGGAAGAGCACAATAAGTATTTTCAGTTTCCCCCTTCCCCACAATTCTAGCAATTTCCACTCCAATAGTTGTTGGCTAGTTGGCATCTAGAAAAATGAAACTGAAGCTCAAGATGGCCGTTCTGAGACAAATCAGAAGCCTGATAGTACAGTGGACTAAAGCACTGTTATTAACATCTGCTGCTTGCAATTACTGCAAGTTCAAATCTCACCAGGCTCAAGGTTGACTCAGCGTTCCATCCTTTCAAAGGTAGGTAAAATGAGGACCCAGATTGTGGGGGCAATAAGGTAACTTTGTAAAAATATACACAAGTATGAAGGCTATTGCTTAACGCATTGTAAGCCGCCCTGAGTCTCCGGAGAAGGGCGGCATATAAATTAAAGCAAAATAAAAATAAAAATCCAGCTTTCAACAGATGCCTGTGGAGCTGCACCAGCCATCCAGGAAGCCTCTTCAGTTCACTGGCCCTTGCATTAGTCGGAAGCGGAACTGCAGGGCAACAATCCTCTTCCACTTTTAATACACAGCAACCAGGGGAATAAATAAAACATGTTGCCTGTGATTCAGAAGGCTATAAACAGCCATCAAAATTAATACTGACAGAACATTTGTGGCTCAGGGTTCAACTACGTGGGGTCTTTGGTGCTCTCTCTGAGTTTGGTTGTTTTCTTGGAGATGTTTCATTACCAAACTAGGTAACATCATCAATGCTAGAAGGGAGTGGGGCTTGCTCTCTTTTTATATACTAATGACTTGCCCTCTCAATGTTGGTGGGAGTGTTCTTGGTAGTTCCTTGATTAGGCTGTTATTTACTGTAAACTTCTTTGAATGGTAGTTCCTTGATTATGGCTTATTTCTTGAGTTTTAGGTTAGTATTGATGTTAATCTCTGCTGTTCTGGGTGTTTATTACTGTGTTTTGTTCTTTTCGTTTCCTTTTTTTAAATTTTTGATTGTCCCTTTTAAATATTATGTAACTGTTGTTTATCTGTGTGTGCTTGTTAATGGCTGTTCATAATAGCTATTGATAGGCTGATCCTTCATAAATCTGTCCAGTCCCTCTCTACACCCATCTAAATTGGTTGCTGTTACAACTGCTGGCAGTGAATCCCACACCCTTATTATGCCCCATGTGAAAAAGCATTTCCTTCTTTGGGTCCTAAATTTGATGGGTTTTACTTTTGATGGATGACCTTGGCTTCTTCAACTGTGGTAGATACAGCTGACTATTCCCCAATACTAGCCATGCGCATTTTAGAAAAAAAGGAATCATTTTGCAAGTCCCACTCCAGAAGATGAAAAATTCCATTGCAGAGCTGAAAAAAGTTGGGTTTATAGCTCTTCTTAAAAATTGGTCACTCACAGCTACACCACTTTGCTTCTCATCAAATGACCGATGCAAAGTTCTCCGTTCCTTTATAAAGCAGCTTTTGTGACCTCAATAATCTGGACCTAGAAAGTAATTAAAAGGTTGATTTTTTTTTTTCTTAAAAAAGAATAGTGAATGGGTTATTCTGGGGATTAAGATAAAAGTGCCATTCTTAAATTGGTTAGGATCAAAGAGTTGGAAATGACATTGAAGTACAGGATCCCTTAAACCACTCCTGACAGGTGAAGAATCATAGAATCAGACGAATAAAATGAGACAGTGGGGTTTTTTTTTTCTTTTCCAGGTAAAATTGTTCTGTGCCCTGACTTGCCAGCTACCAATTTGTGATGTTGCTTGCTTGCCTGACCTTTCCAACAGAGCAATTAGGACTTTGTTTCTAATTAGATTTAGTAGTACTGTGCTGAAATTTGTCTGGCAAATTTAGCCATTTACTTATTGCTGGAGCACTTGAGAACTTTTAAATCATTTGCCCCATTTTTATGTTGCCGTTTCTTGATCTGACTTTTATTATTGGAGGTGGAGGAGAAGGTACAGGTGGTCCTCGACTCATGGCCATTCATTTAGCAACTGTTTGATGTTACGAATGGCAATGAAAAAAGTAACTCACGACTGAGCCTCTCACTTATGACCATTGCAACATCCTTGTGGTTACGTGATCGCAATTCATTAATACGTGTTATTAATGATTGCGGTGATTTGCGAATGATTTTCAGCAAAAAAAAAAAAATGTTGTGGGCATACGATCTGTCACTTTAATGACTGCACTGCTTAACAATGACTTTTCCAGTCCCAATGGTGGTCATAAGTCGAGGACTATCTGTAACTGCTAAGGTTTTATACTGCTCCATTTTTTTCTTCTACAAATAGTTAATGACCTGTTTCTCTTTTTCTTTTTTGGCTAGGCTTTGTTGTTGGGTGTTTTTTTTTTTTATGTTTGATCTTTTTCATTGTGTCATCCCTCTGACTGTGGCACTGGACTAAAGGGTGTGACTAACCTTCAATGAATTTATTACACACATTTCACATTAAGAATTGTTTTTAATAAAGGAGAATACGTGTTGTTCAGGGTTGACTTGAAATGAGGGGTTGTTGGTGCTCGCTGAACTTGGTTTTTTTCTTGCAGATGTTTCCTTACCCAAATTAGATAACATCATCAGTGCTAGTACTGATTTTCCCAAACCAGCACTGATGATGTTACCTAATTTATCTAGAAGAGCCTTGGTGGCACAGCAGACTAAAGCACTGTTAAGTAACACCAGCTGCCTGCAATTACTGCAAGTTCAAATCTCACCAGGCTCAAGGTTGACTCAGCCTTCCATCCTTTTGAGGTAGATAATATGAGGACCCAGTTTGTGGGGGCAATAAGCTGACTTTGTATAAAAAAAAAAAAAGAACACCACTTGGAGGGTGGGGGCGAAAGCCCTACTAAGCAGGTATATACAAAAGTATGAAGGCTATTGCTTAACGCATTGTAAGCTGCCCTGAGTCTCCAGAGAAGGGCGGCATATAAATCGAACCAATAAATAAATAAATAAATAAATAAATAAATAAATAAATAAATAAATAATTTAGGTGAGGAAACATCTGCAAGAAAAACAACCAAGTTCAGAGAGTACCAAGGATCCCTTAGAATTGTTTTTGACATCAAAATCTAAACTCTATGAGCAGCTATGTCCCACTATTTTCATTTTTATGGCTGCATTAGAATATCCATTATACCAACTTACATTAAAGCAAGATTGATGCTCATTAGGTAGACTTAAAATGCATAAAACTGGGGAAGTAATGAGGCATTTACCAAGAGGCTATCCTTCCTCCCCCCAAAAATAAAATAAAATAAAAATCCTTCCATTTTACAATTTTTGCCTCCAAGTCACGTTTTCCCAACAAGTCACCTTTCCCCACAACAGTTTGCCTACTGCTGTGATTTAAACATAAGACAATGATAATTATTTTGTACTGACCTGTACCTTACGGTTTGTGTTTATAAACTGTTATTATTGCCACACCATTAAAGCTTTGTTAACCTTTTCAGTCTAGTTTTCAAACTACATGATGGTTAA